GGCCGTGGCGCCGCAGCAGAGGCGCTCCCGAGCGGGTGAAGGCGGCTCGGTCAGGTGGCGCTGGGCGGCGGCGGCCGTGCCCTCCGCAGCTGAAGAAAATGGTATTCGAGTCGCTGGTCGTGGACGTGTTGAACCGCTTCCTGGGGGACTACGTGGTGAACCTGGACACGTCCCAGCTGTCCCTGGGCATCTGGTCAGGTAACGAGGCCGCGGCCCGCGAGCGCGCCGCCTCCGGGCCGGCGCTGCCCCCTGCCGCCGCGACAGGCTACGGAAGGCTGGCGGCGGCTGCGGGGAGTCGCCTTGGGTCCCCTCTGCGGGGTGGACCGCCGCAGCGGCCGGCGCCCGGGGCTGGGGTTCGAGTTCCGGCGCGGCGCCCGTTTCCTCCTCGCCCCGCGAGCTCGGTCCGGCGTCAGCACACCGCTGGGCTGGGTCTCGTCGCCGTCGTTCGCCCCGTGGTTTGTGACGAAGGCGCTAGAGAGCACGGCAAGGCGAGGCGCGGTGACCCAGGCGCCCTCGCGCCGCCCGCCGCCCGCCCCGAGTGCCCGGCTCCGCCTTCCGCGCCTGGGCTCGGCTGATAACAGACCCGAAACTCCAAGCACAGTAACTCCGGTTGCTTGTGGGTTTTGAACCCGCAGCGTGACCCAGGAGGAATGTGTTCTTTGTGCAGGGCTGTGGAGTTTCGTAAGCCTGGGTAAATTCATTAATTAAAAGTAAAAAGATGCGCCGTGCAGCATTTCAGACCTGCCAGTGACAAGGACGAACGCGCACCTGCGCTGGTTAGTGCTAAAGGACTGCAGCTTTGCTTTTCCCTTACCGCGTGCTCTACCTTATTTAGAGCTTTATTTTTAGTACATCCATGTTTTGTATTACACATTTATTTTAAGCATCAATTACAAATTAGACTCCTTTTGAAATGGATGTCCCAGGGCAAAGTTAAGGTTGTTTGTGTGAACAACACGTTGATTTTTAAAAGTACTTTATTTGTGGATAGGGACACACTGCCAGCCTCCTTCTAAAAGACTTGTTCAATGAGAGCCTTCTTTATGAGATAATATGAACAAGTTTGATTTTAAAAGAAAAGCATACCTCTTCTTACCAGGTACCATGATAGATGTGGACTACCAAAGTAGGAACGTAAGTGCGGAATAACTTGCAGATTGTATAATCCATGCTGCTTCTCAATTGTAAAGTGAAAATAAAATTTGTCTCCACAGTATCTCAAAAAGAAGCCTTTAAAAACTGAGTTGCGCTTTGATCAGTTGTGAAACATTGCTTCTACATTCAAGGTGGGGTTTGTGTAGAGTGTGATTTCTCAGCAAGTTCAGTTAAAGTTGATAAATTAAAATTCTGTCTTAGGTACAGGTCTGTTATGTCTTGATAAATGCTAAGGTACATATCCACCATCACAATAATGATGCACAAAAATTCCGTCAAGCCCCCCAGATTTCCTCCTCTATTCTTTTGTAATGGACTTCCACCCCACCTCCTGGCAGCCTCTCATCTATTTCCATTTCTGTTTCCATTTTGTCTTTTCCAGAGTGTCACATAAATGGTTTGTAGCTTTTGCGTCTGGCTTTTTAACAAAACACATGTGAAAATTATCCATGTGTTTCATGCTTCATTATTTCAGTCCTGTGTATTTAGATAGTGTTTAATCCCACGGATATACTGTAAATATTTGTCCATTTGGCAGTGGAAGGATATTTCATATTTTGGAAAATTTGAATAAAGCCACTGTAGCACTAATGTACAGGTTTATATTTGAATATATCGTATCAGGATTTAGTTACACTGCATCCACTGAGCAATTGCTGTGGTCACTTAAAAAATACTTCTTTAGTCATTCTGCTATGTATGTAGTGGTAAAGCTTTGTGGCTTTCATTTGCATTTCTCAATCCCCACTTTTTTGGCAGGGCGGGGAAGACAGGATCTAACTAAATTGTCCAGGCTGGCTTCAAACTTGTAATCCTCCTATCTCAACCTGCCAAATAGCTGTGATTACAGGCAAGTGCCACCAGGCCCAGCAAGATTTTCCATTTAAAAATATGGAATTTAGTGTTTTTTTAATGTAGTAATAAAATTATGCACCCATCGCTACTATAGCAACATCTAGACATCCCCAAAATAAGCCTCATACCTATTAACAATCACCTCCCCATTTTTTCCTGCTCCTATCCCTGGCAGCCACTAATTTACTTTCTTTAAAATGGGTTTGTATATTTTGGACATTTGATTTAAGAGGAATCATACAGCATGCAGCCTTTTGTTTTTGGTTCCTTAAATTATATTTCAGCGTTCTATATACCGCATTTTGTTTAATTACTTATGAATTGGTAGGCACTTAGGTTATTTACACTTTCCACAATGATGCCACTATGGACAGTCATGTACAAGTTTTTTAATGGACACATTTTAAATTCTCTTTAATATGTACTTAGTGAATTAGCTGGATCAGATTGTAATGCTGTTTAACTTTTTGAGGAACTGTCAAATTCTTTCCAGAGTGGCTGTTTTCTTATTGTTGATAGTTGAGAATTCTTTCTATAATGGAGGCAAATTCGTTATTAGATAATTTTATTTGAGGATTTTCCAACCTTTTTAGTCTTGTCATTTGCAGAGCATGTATTTTAAGTTTTGATAGTTTCTTTATCAAAAACTTCATTTACACTTGGTTAGCATATGAGAGACTGTGGGTTCAATTTCTATCACTGCCAAATTAAAAACAAAAACACTTCTTTTGCAAGTCATATGCTTTTGATGTCCTATTTACAAGATACCTAACCAGAGCCACAAAGATATTCTCCTGTGTTCTAGAAGTTTGAATTGTTTTTGATTTTTAGATATCTTTTTAAAAAATTTAATAGTACAAGTGTAGGTTTCTTACTGAAAAAAATTTTTTTTTTTTGCCTTTTTGAGACAGGGTCTCACTATGCAGTTCAGGTTAGCCTTGAGCTCACTTTGTAGGCCAAGCTGGTCTTGAACTTGAAAGGATCCTCCTGCCTCAGCCTCCTGAGTGCTGGGATTACAGGTGTGCACCACCGTGCCCCACTAAAAAATTTTTTAATAGTACATCCTGGTTACATTCCTTGTGGAGATTGGGTACCCATCGTTAACACATCTTAATTCTGTTCTTATCTCCTTCCCTCCCTCCATCTCTCAATCCTCTTTTGAATTTAAAAGAAAGATTTGTCTCCTTCCTTCCTATTTTATTTTGGTCTTTATATTTTGGGTTTCTCATAAAAGAGAAAGCACACGATATTTAAGCTTGTGTGTCTCATTCATTTCACTTAGCAATATGGTCTCATGGTGCACCTGTTTTCCTACATATGACTCAAATTTGTCCTTCTTTATGGGGAAGAAGTACTCCAGTGTTTGTAAATACATTTTCTTTATCCATTCATCTATTGATGGACATACAGGATGCCTCCAAGATAGAGGTATTATGAATTTTGCTACTGTACCTAGAAGGGGAATAGCTGGGTCAAATGGAATTGAACTAGTTGTAGTTTTTGAAGACTCTCATACTGATTTCCACAGTGGTTATACTAGGTTACATTTCCATCGCTGATGCAGACCCCCACATCCCCCAGCCTTACCAGCATTTGTTATTTGATTTCTGATGATAGCCATTCTTTCTGGAGTAGGAGGGAATCACCTTGTTTTTAAATTTGTATTCCTCTAATGGCCAGTGATGTTGAACTTTTCTTCATGTATTTGTTGACCATTTGTATATCATTTTTTGAGAAGTGTCTGATCCGTTTTTTGATTGGGTCTTTTATTTTTAGGGTTTTTAATTTTTTTTGAGTTCTTTGTATATTCTAAATGTTAGTCCTTTGAGGAATATGTGGCAAAATTTTTTTTCCCATTCTGTAGTTTGTTTCTTCCCTCTGTTGGTTGTTTCTTTTGCTGTGCAGATGCTTTTTAATTTGATATGATCCCATTTGTTGATTCTTTGTACCCTTTTTTGTGCATGTGGGGTTTTGCTGAGAAAGTCCTTGCATATGCCTATGACTTTAAGAGTTTTACCTGTTTCATCTCCTAGCAGACTGTTTTAATATTTAGATCTTTGATCAATTTTGATTTTAGTTTAGTACATGGAGAGAGATATACGGGTCTAGAATCTAGCATCAGTCGCTGCCTGTGGATAGTCAGTTTTCCTAGTTGTTGTTAAAGAGGCTACTTTTTTTTTCAAGTGTATGTTTTTGGGTCCTTTGTCAAAGATCAAATAGTTGAATGTGCTTGGGCTTGTTGCTGCATCCTCTATTCTTATCTGTAGTATCTGGTGTCTGTTTTTGTGCCAGTACTATGATGTTTTTATCACTGAAGTTTTGTAATAGAACTTCACATCTGGGATTGTGATGCCTTCACATTTCTCTTGTTACACAGGACTGCTTTTGCTATTCTGAGTCTTTTGGCTCCATATTAATTTTAGGATTATTTTCTCTCCAGTGCTGCAAAGAATATTGCTGGTATTTGAGGTTTTTTTTTTTTTTTTTTGGTCTTTTTGAGGCAGGGTCTCACTATGCAGTTCAGGCTGTCCTTGAGGAGCTCACTTTGTAGGCCAGGTCGGTCTTGAACTTGCAAGGATCCTCCTGCCTCAGCCTCCTGAGTGCTGGTATCACAGGCATGCGCCACTATGCCTGACTCTTGTTGGTATTTGACTGATACTGTGTTGAAAACTGTCAGTTTTGTGTGACCATTTTGACTGTATTGGTTTTTCCTATCCTGATCTTTTCGTTTTATTTCTTTCTTTTTTTTTTAATTTTTATTTTTTTGGTACTGGGAATTGAACTCTCAGGACCTTGTGCTTGCTAGGCGGGCACTTGTGTCACTGAGCTATATCCCCAGCCCTCCATTTTCTGATGACCTCTTTAATTTCCGTTTTTACTGTAGAGATCTTTCATTCACTTCTTTGGTTTGGTTAACTCCTATTTAATTTTTCTTAATGCTATCGTAAAAGATGTTTTTTCTTAATTTCTTTTTCTGTGAGTTCATTATTGGTGTACAGGAATGGTATTGATTTTTGTGAGTTGATTTTGTATCCTACTATATTGCTGAATTTGGTTTTTAATTCTAGGAGTCTTATTGGTGGAATTTTGGGGCCTTTTATGTAGAGGAGCTTGTCCTCTGCAAGTAATAACTTGTCTTTTTCTTTTCATATGCATATCCCTTTTATTCTTTTTCTTGCCTAACTGCT